GCATATGCTAGGACAAATATGTACAAATGCTCCTTCTTCCCTAGCTCTATTAGAGCATGGAATGGGTTGCCTGAATCAACCAGGAACACCAATGACTTGTCAGACTTTGTCATTGATTAACATGCATAACTAGATTGACCTAGGGACATGCGTAGGATGTAATCATCTTCTTTTTTGAAGTAATGTCTGTATTTTATAAGATTTATATTGGTTTCATCACTCATATCACATTGCAGTGATCACTCATAACCATTATAGTCAACATTATCATTGGCAAAATTAAATCTCATCAAATTTATTAGCAGATTCATCTGTAAACCCATAGGGCAAGGTGGCTGAGTAAATAAAACACCTAGCTTCTAACCTGAGGGGGTTCTAATTTAAAATGGAAAATTTGAGATTTTTTTCATGTCACAGGGTTCAGATCATTAATCCTATATCTGAGATGAACTGCGCAGCGGTTTCCAGATCAGGCAGTCCTCCATATAGTTTCTCTTCCATAGGAAGGCTTGTGGGATTTTCAATTTTGGTATTTTTTGGTTACCCCTGAGTCCACCCAATTCTATTGGTTACCTGACCATTAGTTGGGGAGAGTAAAAAAAAAAAGTCAGTTGGAGTTTCGTCACATGACACTTCATGACAGCCTTGTTAACATCAGCCATAGAAACAGAGGACCTGTACATTATATGTCCAATAGAGCACAAGGTCTGAATATGAACTTTATTTGCTTAAAAAAAAAAAATTTAGCTAAATTTCCAAACATGTTTTAAATTTAAACTACTAGTACTATTACTACATAGCAACAAAAAAAAAATGATAAAAAATTGAACTATTTTTTCTTTATTGGCGAAAAGAAAATTAGGCAATTTTTTTTTTTAACATTGTAGCCAAATCTCCAAATTGCTTCTCACATCTGTGGCAACCTGGTTTGCGTGGTCATATGAAACACTGCACTTATCCTTAACACTTCTGAATCGAAGACATTACCAATATTTTCATTTTTGTGAGAACCAGAAGTCTGTAGAATAGGATGAACAAATACTCTAAAAAATAAAGAATTCACCATTTATTTAGAAATAAATTGCGAGGCCAATGATATGATGGTGTTTTACATATGAGTGGCCAGTACAATGACCCTTGGATATTGCTTCAGCAAAAGCATCATCCTGTGCATTGGTCTTAAATGATTCAGCTTTGTTCAAGAAGAACCTGTATGATTATTTTTGCTCACAGCATATCAAGATGGCTTGAGTAATATCTTGATGTACCGTACTAAACATGTTAAAAATTATTTTGTTCCCCAACTGAAAAAGAACAGTGCTCATCACCAGTCATATTTTGTCAGATTACTGGTAAATTAGGTTGACTTATTATGGATGGAACTTATTGAAGTATGCATACTACGATAGACTGACCATGACAACCTTGTTATATTAAAGACACTTGTTTGATTACATTGACTCAGGTTATTTTTTAACTCAAATAAACTCCTTCTGAACGGAGTACAAACGAATGTCAGAGGACTTAAACATAAATATTAAAGTGTATTAAATAATAATAATAAGGCTTGTCTTTGAGTTAAAAGGTTAAAGAAGAATGCAGTATTTCCCCGGCTGTAACCTACATATTTAGCCACATCCTGCGCAAGAGTAACTATTGTTGATTTAGATTTTCTTTTCGACATCTACATCTGTCCATGGCAGCTGATTTTCTTTTGGTCTCGTGTGTCCGCAGCCTTCGTAATTGATGTTCTTAAGGCTTATATATAACAAACAATTTGGTTTCTTTTTCTGATTGGCTAATTCTTTTTTTTTCATCATACAATATGTTTCCTCAACTGCATTCAACATATAATCAAGGATATTCTTTGCTTGACAGTAGCGAGTTTTGTTACTTTTTGTTCTGAAATAATCCTCTAATGATTAGATATTGTCCTCAAGTCCAAGAAAAGAAATAATCTGACCAAATGAATTTGAGTCCTTTTGTTTTACTGGTATGTTATATTTGATATTTTAGAACAATGAATAAAACAACATATTAACAAAATGGAGAATAGTGAAACTTGTTTTTGTTTATTTTTTTACAGTAAAAAATATGTTCACTATTGACAACAAAGATGACATTTAGTAGAAATGAACAAAAAATATAAACATTTTTAAGATGTTAATGTAAGAATGGTGTCCACTTACACACACACACAGACATCATATTGTTCAACTAAAAGGTCAATAAATTTATTTAAAGCATCACACAATTCCAACACTTCTGAGCTCCCTTATACCTTTGGAAAACAACAAAAAAAATATTTTTTAGATTACAGCAAGAAAGAAACGAGAGACTTTTATCTTTTTTTTTAAAATTCATTCTGAAGTTCTCAATTTTGTATTTTTTTCTCACTTATTAAACTTTAAAAAAAATTTTTTTTAATTCTTTTGCTCAAGACTTTGTAACATTGCTATGATGACAGCCAAGTAATAGTCACTAGTCACATGAGACCTATAACAAACACTTGTAGCCTACATTTTGATACATGCAATTACTTCCACTCAAATATTTGCTCTGTACTGCTGATACACACACACTTGCACACACACACTTTACTTTTGCATAGAAAATAAAAAGAAATCAAAATATACCCTTTGTAGTCGTTTTTTTTTCTTTTTCATCAGCATGTACAAAATCACAAGAAGCAAATTTAAAAAGTGGCAGAGCATCCAATGAATAGGAACATTTGTTTCAACATTTAATCATCTTCTAGCAAGATTTTATTTGTGTAGCTTGACCTATTCCTGACAGCTTTTATTAATCTACCTGATGTTACTAGAACTCTCCTTCTTCAAAAGTTCATTTTATTTTTAACCATAAGTCAAATTGTAGATCTTTAAAGAACTTTCACAGTCACATTAAAAAGGATTACGCCCCTTAGGTTAAACCCACTTAGGCAGAGCTTTATGATTTCTGAGCTTTTTGCATGAAGTTCACACGTTGTTTAATATAAGAGACATCTTTCAGAGTCAACTGTCAACTAGAGAAGTCAACTATTGACAACTAGAAGTTGACAAGGAGCTCGACCTATTTAAATCTTGTCTTTTATTCATTGAAACCTTGAAGTCTTAATGTGCGGCAGAAACTGTCCAAGTTATTGAGCTACTGAACTATATAACAAGGAAGAGCATAAGATGTAATTGCTTGTACATAAAATTGGATAGTTGAAATTAAATTGTTAAATTACCCATCTATCGCTTATTGGTGACCCCATTTGAGAAAAACATTGGACTGCGAAAATCAACAATAACTTATCATAATGAAAGTCAACAATGACTTATGATAAAAGTGTTTTACCATGATTACAATGCAATGATTTATTTTCATAGAGCTATATTTATAAGTGGATACAAGAAACTGCTACAATCTGAGCCTGATGAACTTCTACAAGATATCCCTCCTAAACTTTAAACTGCTGTACAAGTAAACTTCTTTCAAAAACATAGAGCAATAGCCATTTAAAACCATGCAAAGTATAAACTAACCTATACACACCAGCATGATTTTGAAAATCTATACAAAACTTCATTTTCTGACACCAATCTCTTAATCATTAAGCCATTGGCCAGATTTCTCCACAGGTGTAATATGATTTTTAAAAGATTCCTGTCATTAAGGTTTGGGGATATGTAATTAACTGCCTTTTACAAAAGGTAGAATATATGTTTGCACACTATTTTTTGTTTACATGTTGATATATATATAATTGTAATTGCTTAGATGTATATAACATTTACATTTCAGATGGATATTACTTTTTTTTCTTCTTACAAAATGTAAAAAAAAAAAAAATATGCTTGTTCACTGACTATTTTTTTTTGTTTACATGCTGATATATATATATATACATATACTTATTATTGCCTAGCAGGTTGTGTATAGTATTGACATTTCATGTGGATACATCGTTTTTTTTTTGTGTTTTTTTTTACAAACTGTAGGCTATGTTTTAGTACCAAGATTACTTTTGTTTGCATGTTGATATATGTACGTTTTGAAAATTCCTTTATTAGAAGTTGGTCTGTTTTAAATGAACCCAGAAACAGACACAAATTAGAGAGGGGGAGAAATGTCAGGACTGAGTTCTGGTCAGCCTGGGTCTCCTGTTTACTGTAGAGGAGAAAGGGGGGCAATTCAGGTTGTTGACTTCAAAACTGTTATTGTTTTGGGTTGTTTTTACTTGGTGAGATGTTTTTGTTGAATATAATGTAACTCATAATAAGGCAGTGTGTTTTTTTTTCCTAGTCCAGGACAGTTGGACTTTTGGATATAGATATAGTCGAAGTGTAGACTCTAATTATTTCTCTGTGTTGTCACTATTCAGTCTATGGAATATTAAGCTGATATATTTTTAATCGATACCGGATATTTCAAATGTCTGAACTGATTCTGTATTATAGTACAGATAATGTAATAAACATGTTTTATGTATGTGAGTTGGCATTCTGAATCTTTGTTCTATCGTTGTATGTGTCGTTGTGGTGTTGCCCAGGACTTGGGTACATTTAGTAATACACATACGTATATTAGAGAAGAAATGAATCTTGACAATTGCATTGTGAGTGTTTGACTAATGGACCAAATTAAATAAGGCACAATGTAAAAAAGAAAGTTTTTCTATAAAGAGAGATCAGAAATTTTGAGGAGGCAATATTAGTTTCTGGTCTGTAGTTTACAACTGTCTTGTTCAACTCAAATCAGTGATACTAAATATATGACCTTATTTATCCAACAAGAGGAACTGAAATAAAAGAAAACCTCATTTAAATTCTTTCTATTAGATTTTATGTAAAAATAGCATGTGAAAAAACAGAAATGAGTGAACTCTCGACATTTCCAGTTGTCAGTTGCACAGCAATAAATATCAAGACTATATGGAACTAAGTCAAGTAGCAGGTCAAGTACAAACTAAATCAAGTCCTATAAAGTCAAGTAGCAAGTTCAGACTAAATCAAGTCCTATAAAGTCAAGTAGCAAGTACAGACTAAGTTAAGTCCTATAAAGTCAAGTACAGACTCTATGAATTCCTCTTTGTTCACAACCTATTCTCTGTATGTACAGCACAAAATGTCATCATGGAACACAAACAATAAAGATAAGACTGGAACCATGTGTTGACCTATGACCTAAAGTGACGCACGAGTCTATGGACAAAGGTGCAGTCAATGCTTTTATCAAACAAGACTCACATTGAATAAAAGTCAAATGGATAGCAAGACTTTAAATCAAGTATTATGAATTTTGTATTAAAACAGTTATCAAATTCATCAATTAATTAATTTCATTTTTGATTGGCTGATTGATTGACTTAATAAGATAATGCCAAGTGTTTGTATCTTCACTGTCTGGGATGTCCACTGTCAGTCCATGGTCAATCAAAATGTAACATGTCACTCAGAATGTTGAATAACATTTGATTGAAACTTAATATATAAAAAAAAAGTAAAAAAAAAATATTTACATTCAAACCAGTAAAATATGGTATGTAAAACAATGTAAATTGACCAATCAAACTGAGTGTTTTATGATAGTTTGTACAGTGAAAACACTAAAAGATTAACCAATCAAATCTTTCTAAAATGCTATAAAATTTCTTTTTGTTCTATTTTGTATGTACATAATGACACAATTTTAATCTTAACGAAAAACAAAACAATTCCTTCCTGACATCCTATAAAACAACATACAACAATGTCATCAGAAAGTTTGGACAAAATTTGTTCTTCATACCAATTAGTGAGACAAAACTTTAGCATTCACACCACATTCACTTTGTGTGGTTTATAAGAGCATGTGTTAAGGTTAAGGCCATCTCTTCATTTCTGAAGACTTTCACCAGACAAACTCAATTAAGCCAGTCTACACATTCAACAAAAACACATTTCTGATGACTTTCACCAGACAAACTCAATTCAGCCAGGCTACACATTCAACAAAAACACATCTTTGATGATGGCCTATGAAAGAAAAACAGATGCAAAGAACTGAAAAAGATGTGGTTTTGTTCTTTTAAGTGATTTATACAACGGAATGTTGTTGTTTTTTTTGATAAACCCATTTGATGTTCAGAAGAAATACTTGGTAATTACTAGACGTTGTTTTAACGATGACATACACTCAAAGGGAAGGGAAGGAGTTAATTTATTTTATAGACATGGGAAACTAAATAGGCTTAACTCGTAAATCTATTTTTTTTAATGAACATGCTTTGAATCATAGTTCTTCACAATTTCTGTCATATGTGCATTCTAATTGTAAGCACACTTGAAATAAGCTCATGTTTGATTTAATTCTTTTTATCATTACTATGAATAGGGGGGGGGGGGGGGGGTTATCAAGCTTAAATAAAAACAAAAAAAACCCTTTAAATGTATTGATAGATGTCAAGATTTTAAGCCAAAGCTCTCAGAAACATTATTGAAGTCAAATTGAATACTTTAATTCTTATAGAACTCATCTAAAATAATACTGAGAAAGAAGAACTGCAAACTGATCTTTGAACAGACTCCACTGGAAATGTGAACAATGAACTAAATAAAAAAGCTTTTGAAAACATGCTTACTTTCACATGAGATAGTTTTGAATATCTTCATAAATCTGCTCTCTACTTGTTCAAATACTTTTGTTTTGTGTACTTTTTTTGGCTTAAAGTTTTTAAACAAGTCAAACTAAAATGAATACTTTTGCTGATTCTTTAATAATTAATGAAAAAGATTTAGGTTAAAAATTGTAATTTCTATTTAAGTAAAAGTATATTTTGACCAATAACATTTGCATGAGTTCATGTATAAAGTATTTAAAATAACTGGATCTTTATCTCTGATTTCTTTAGTATATAGGTAAGTACAGATCCTAGTAGTAGTGTTATGATACATATATGCTTTCTTCTGATCTGTTGGCCAATACTTTGACAAAGAAATGAGAACATGTTTGTTTTTAATGTTCTAAGCAAGTTGTTTTAAAGATAAACACTAGCCAAAAAAATAATTTTTATTTAGTTTTCTGGTTGGTATCTTTTTCTACTTAATGTTTTAATTCAATGTTTCCTCAAAGTAACAAATTGAGGGGCTACCAGACTGACATTCAACTCATGGCGATGTTAGGACAATTCTACTTGTTTCACACACACACAATAGATGTCACACAGAATCATGCTATTCAACAGATGACATGGTCAGCGTGGGGGCTAAGACACATTTACAGAGACCAATCTTCTTCCACATGTTACTCTCTATATGCACACTTTGTCTACTGGACATTGATTGCCAACTTGTCCAAACATGACCTCATGTCCAGCTGACCTTCCCAATGCCAAGAACTATAAATGAACCTCTGCTTGTGTAATACAAAGTGTCTTTAGGTCAGTGCACTCATGTGACCACTACCTAAGTGCCATTGTGCCATCTTTTTGAACTAAAAGCTGCAGCCCTGATGCTAAAGAAAAAAAAAATTGGAATAAACACACAAAAAAAGTGTAAACTAAAAATAGAAAGAAAACAAATGAAGAAAAGATAACTCAAAACCCAAATATTGTAGAGTTACCAAACTTGACAGGAAACTTAACTTAAAAAAATGTTGTTTTTAAATGGACTAACATATATATATATATATATATATATATAAAAGTCTGAATTATGTTTTCGATGAAACCTATTCTTCATCAAATCTATTTTCTAATCAAAAACGTCCTCGTTCAATTGTTTTTGTTCATTCTTCTAAAGTTCTACCATTTGCTGTTTGACGTGACATTACCCAAGCCCATACAAATATTAGAACATATAAATTGTATATTAAAAAAATTGTGACTATCAAAAGACTTTGTTGGTGTTTTAAAAAAAAAAATGTATTTGAATCAAAATGCTTTATAAAGGAAGGTTTCTTACTGTGTAACAAGACAAATGTCTTCAGTCAAAAAAAATAATAGGACCCCCCACTCCTCCCATTGGATATGTTTTTTTTTATTGTCCTGCTGGTTTAGTAACTCATACAATCTAAAAAAAAATTAAATATATAACATGAAAAAGTTCTTGTCTTTTTGTTTTGTGTGCAATAAAAAAAAAAACCCAGAAAAACAAAGAAAAAGTGCTCAAATAAGAAAACAAATTAATGGATGTCGAGCAAATGTGTATATATATTTTTTTTATTGAGTTCAAGGTCAGGTCACAGAATTGTATAATCTTAACATCAGTCAGTCCAACATAAATTTGATATCAACTTTCACAAATAAGATTCTCCAAACTTCAAATCTACTCTCTAAACTGGTCAAACAACACTATACTCTCTACACCAAAGAACATGCTAGCTAGGGGAAGGAATGTTGCTTTGGACAGGACAAAATGTGAAGGAGTTGTCTTCCCTTAGCTTACAGAAACCTCACTTCCTGCAAGAGACACAAAGAGACGAGTGTCATGGAGAGTTACATAGATGTAGGATTGTGGATGGAGAACTCATGAATAGGAAAAACATGACGACATCAAAGTTTCTGAGCTGTTTTAACAGCATGGGACTTTGGACACTATTCAAACAGTGAGGGACAAAGTCTAATGATACAAAGATATACATAAAAAATTATTATTATTATTGAAAACTTTAAAATAAACCATTTTGAAAAAGGAAAGCATAGAGCTGTGGAGTTTTTTTAGTGAAATGAAACTATGTAGAGATAACAGAAGAAGAGAAGAAATGGTTTTGCCAAAATCAGGAGGCACATTACTTATTCCTCATGCAGGGATAAATTCATCAAAGTGCTCATTCTTCTCTTGTGTCATAAGACTATGGAACAGGTAGCCTCAATAAGCCAGGAAAACCAATGACTTTATTGAGTCTTTAATTATCATACATGTCTAGATGAGCACATGAATAGGAGTAGGACGTAGAAGGAAGGAATGTCTGTGATAAGATATTTTCTCTTGAGTACTTTGACTTAAGAACATCTACAATGATACAAAAATAGAAGTTTCCATATTCGACATTTGATTTCAAACAATATTCTTTATCAAAAAGAATCTAGGTCATAGTGTTATATTATTGTTGGTTCGATTGGATTATCTTATCAAATCCAAGATTACCTTTCACTATGTAAAGATTTATATTGGTGATGTGGGCCCAGCCTGATTAATTTGTTCTCCATTAGAGATATAAATGAAATGGAAACTTCTGTACAGTGAATGGAATCAGGTTGCCTGACATGTAGAGGAGTATGAGAAACATTTTTAATAGCTTCCTTTGTTATTAAATATTTTGATGCAACACCTTGTGATAGTCGTTGGATTGTAGCACTAGATAACTAATACAACTGAACTGATGTAGGCATATTATATTATTGATTGTAGAGCTTGCAATGACTTGTATAACTGTCTTCATTCAAACAAAAACTTTTCACTTTTAACGTTTACTACTACATGCACAGATTCAACTGGAGATAGGATCTAGTCAAAATAAATGTAAATAATATTGAAACAAAATCACAAAAAAACATGGGGCTCATCAGCCCAAACCAACCTAAGAAAAATAGACAAGGTTCAAAATATTGGTCTAAGGATAATGACAGGAGCAATCAAAACAACACCCATAAGAGCTATGGAGGAAACCGCTGCCTAGATCTCTCTGGATGAAAGAAGAGAAATAAAAATCCTTTCCCAATTTACTAAATTGAAATCCTTGGAGAGGCACACACTCAGAACAAAAATCCACAAAACTGGCACAAAAAACCGTCTCAAAAAGGACCGATTTCATACAGGAATCTCTAAACCTAAAAAAGAAACACCAGCTTGAAAAAATAACTCTGGAATCCTCGATACACCATAATGAATCTCCACCCTGGGACAAGAGCCCTCTTCCTACTATAAGGGACCATATTGAAAACATAAAAAGAAAATCTGATTACAGACCAACAGAGCTCAAGGAAATAGTGAACTGTTTTCTACTATACAATTATCCTAGCAATCAGTGGATCAGAGTTTACATGGCTGGCTCATCCCATAAAGCCACCACAAATGGAGGAGCTGGAATACTCATCGAATGGCCAGATGGAGAAAAACTAGAAAAATCCATGGCAACTGGAGAGCTCTCTGACAGCCACTGAGCAGAAAGGGAAGCACCAGCACTAGTTGCTACTATGCTAGCATATCATCCAAGTTCCCCACACAGTCAGATTGTCTTTCTCACCGATGCGAAAAAAAACCTCCAAAGCTTGCAAAACTCTGATTTCTCTTATATTAAAAACCTCAGAACAGCACTTACAAAGCTCAACAACAACAGCAAAAAAAAACTGTTATTCAATGGATACCAACTCATATACAACTAGAAGGAAATGAGAAGGCTGACACACTTGCCAAGAGTGGGAGAACTAACTCACAAATAAACTCTGCATTTTATCCAGAAGAAATGAAGAAATTAATCATAAATAAAATAAATGAGAAATGGACGAGCTCTCATCCAAATCACAAGAAAGATGATGCTTACTATAAGCTATCCCGGCAAGATCAACATCTAATCTTTCGACTCAGGACCGGACACAACAGAATGCGACAACACATGTACTGGAAGCTCAAAATTGGAACCAGTAAAATCTGCCCATGTTGAGTGTCACCAGAGAAGGCTGACCACGTCCTCCAAAACTGCTCTCTTTACCAAGAGGCCCGTATAAGACACTGGCTCCAAAAACTATATGGAGATCTGGAAACCACTGCGCAGTTCATCTCATATATTGGTCTAGTCGTCGGAACGCTCCAACATAAAACATGAGAACGAAGTAGAAGACAGAAGACAACAAAAACACTTCCTTATTTTCTACCCACAGGGTTAGGACATATTACCATCAATGATGACAGACCAGCTCATGGTTTCATCTTCTGCACCCACATCCACCCAGAGGCGCGGTGGCTGAGCAGTACAGTGCTTGGCTGAGCAGTACAGTGCTTGGCTGCCGATCCGGGGTTCGAATACTGGGATTTTTAATTTCAGGATCTTCGAGCGCCTCTGAGTACACCCAGCTCTAATGGGTACCTGACATTAGTTGGGGAAAAGTAAAGGCCGTTGGTCGTTGTGCTGGCCACATAACACCCTCGTTAACCGTAGGCCACAGAATCAGATGACCTTTACATCATCTGCCCTATAGACCACAAGGTCTGAAAGGGGAACTTTACTTTTTTTACTTTACACACATCCACCCACGCACGCACACATCTACTACATTGGTATAGTTGTATTAGCTCTCTGGTGCTATAATCCACGACTGAATATGACACAGCTAAGAGTTCCAGGGGAGTCAACTCATGAAGAAACAACTTAGAGGTTACCTTCTTCTACGCTGGTAGGGTTCAAGTCTG